ACGTCTGAAGCCTCGGGAATGTACTGTCGATCAAAGAGATCGCGAACTGATTTATTAATTAAGGGATTCTCTGTCGGTCTCGCAGTCTCTCTATTGATTCCTCTGTTTATAATCTCTCGAAACGGATTCAATACGAAGCTATTGTCTGTGTTATAGTTATGGTTGGGTTGTCTATCATAAGGAATGCCACTGTCACTCGTATAGACATTTGTTCGGCTGTTTGTGGTGAACAGTGGAGGAGCGCTATCAACGATCTGAGGAATAACTGGTTTCTGATTCTGTGGAGTAAAGAATCCTTGAATTGTTTGGACCACATCTCCAACTGAATCCATAACACACTTCCCGGCGTTAAATGTTTTGCAAGACTTTGTTATATAACTATTTAGCGTCGAATCGGTGAGTGTTGTGATTAAGTCATCAGAGATGGAATCGGGACACAAATGGGCCGATTTGGCCAAATGGGCCGCATCTCTAACACCTTGGATACACGCGTTGTGTCGGAAGTGAGTGCTGAGTATAAATGCAAATCACAATTATTTGTTATAAATTATAATTAATAATATATACTTCGAGTAAACAATTATAACGGGCTACATTTATTAAAGAGGAATAAAAATCAATATTTAAAATACAGTACAATAGCAATTAAATAGATACAAACTGTTCCCAATACTCTACAGTACTTATACTACTGTAGAAATATTACGTAAATAAACATTATATTATATCATATTAAATTATTGTTATTATTTATCGTATACTTAATGGAATACAAGTTAATTTTTAAAAAGCATTTCAATGATTTCTTGTTTATATTTTTATTAACTTCAAGTTTATTGTTATTCTTATTAAATATTAATGGTGTATGTTGTAATTTAATATACATGTAGTATTTTTGTTTAAATCTACTGCATAATACAGTAGAAATAACTACGGTAGAATTAAAAATATTTTGACATTTAATCGCATGTGGGAATTAATAGCAGAACTATAGAAACTCGTAAAATTTTATTCATAATTCATGTTATATTTATAAAATATTATAATTGATTTCTATGATTTACTTAATTATCTTAGTTTAAAATATAAGTAAATAAAATTATACAAATTGTAAATAGCAATTTAATGGAAGTAAATTTTATTTGATTTTAAAAAGTTAACAAAATATTCATTAGAGACTCACCAACAAAGTGAATCCTTATTTCCACCCAAAAAGTCGGTCACAAATTTGATGGGAGAGAAGTAGTTGAGACAAGGAAGTAAATTTTATTTGATTTTAAAAAGTTAACAAAATATTCATTAGAGACTCACCAACAAAGTGAATCCTTATTTCCACCCAAAAAGTCGGTCACAAATTTGATGGGAGAGAAGTAGTTGAGACATGTGGCCACTCCCGACCCAACTGTCCGATCGCATTGACTGAATAGTTGGAACTCATCACTCAATCCATTTATTTCTTTATAAAATAGTTTGTTATAACTTATTAGTGAATAAAAGGATCAAAATGAATAAAAACCAATTCTCACCAACTGTTCCGACAATAATAAGGACAACAAATGTATTTAATTTCATAATTAGAGTGGAAATATAAATTAAATATTATAATCGGTTTCACTAGTTGTGAGCACAAAACAAGTCTTTGAGATATAAAGATAGTATTTATAATTATTTTTCTGATGTGTTCTTCAAAAAGTTGGAGTAAATGCGAGACTTTCTCACGATTTTTCCTCGTATTCGTTACGCAAACCTATCATGTGTTTGGACAACACCTATTGGTCTTGAGCTGTGGTTTTACTCCTATTCAATGAAATGAATGTCATTTCTAATTATAAAATGAAATTCAATTCATTGCTTTCTACAATCATTTTGATTATTAACTTCTTCAGAGATATTTACTTACTTTGTATTAATTTTTAATAAATTCTTAAAAAATTACTTTAGGTTAAATTTATAATAGTAATCAGTATTATTGTATAAGTGCTAGTGAATTATATACAATTAAACAAATTAGAAAAAGAGTTTAGTTCAACATTTTACGCAATTTTAATAACGATCTTAAAGTGACGATTAAGTGCAGAGTTAATTAAATTACTGTTATTGCAATTTATGGTATTTAGTTCAACTTAAAGTGAATTAAAAACAAATAACCAATAAATAACTAAGAAAGTATTTTACATTTAATTAAATTAGCAATTTTCCTTCTAATGTAATAAAAACTTATTTTAAGATTTTATGCAATTTATTAAGTTATTCAGTTGTATTATTAATAACTAGTTTCCAAATACAAGAATTTATTTATAAATCAATCAATAATCTACAATATATATGGATTCTATAATAAGTTAAAAGTTGTGTTATGTGTAACACTAAGAAATGATGAGTTCAATCATCCTGGTGTTGATTTTGATTGCAAGCCATAAGAGCTACTCCACCGGTTATTCCCTTACAAATATTGGACATAACATAGATAGACATCGGCGGCAGTTCGGGAATCAATGAAATCAATTTCTTAATCATTGAATACTTTTCCAGAGATAGCTTTGGAAGACTCGGCAGAGAAGGCATTCTTAGCGGAAATAACGNTAAAATGAGTTTAATCTTAAAATAGATTTGAATCAATCAATAAAACCAAAATCATATCAATTCTTGTATCAAACATAAAAGTGTGCTATTTTATTCATATTGATTTTAATTTTATAATGTTTTTTACGACAATTGTGCTGGTCATTTTCATAATAGTGTTTTGCATTAAAATGAAAAATGATTGCTTGATAAAGGTGTTCACATTGTCATTAATCCAGATTGTTTATGGTATGAACCTCACAATTTGGGATCATGAGAACCGGGAGCTCAGCCAAAGTTCTGTTACCCTCCGAGTACTCAATCCATTTCAAGAACAAGGTTTGCATTAATTCTTAAAATATACGTTAAGTTATTAATGATTGTCCACAAAAGAGCTTTTAGCAAATCTTTTCGGTGTATTCTATGGACACAAATTTTTGCCGATGTGTTCAATGGTCGGATGTGCTACTAATGCCACTCAATGTGTAGGACACGGAGGCAAAGAAATGTTCAACAAGATGTCTGTCGGTGACTATACTCAGGCATATTTCAAGAGTTTATATACATTAGACAATACATATCTATCGATTAATTGCAACAAATTCCTAATTCCCTGTTGTTTTAGTGAGTTTATATTATTATTATTTGATACCGTAATATTATTTTAAAGCAACATTTTTATTGATTTTAAAGTCAATTCATTGAAGAGTGAGAAGCCTAAGCCATCATCTCATTGGACGTTATTTCCACTAAGAATGCCTTCTCTGCCGAGTCTTCCAAAGCTATCTCTGGAAAAGTATTCAATGATTAAGAAATTGATTTCATTGATTCCCGAACTGCCGCCGATGTCTATCTATGTTATGTCCAATATTTGTAAGGGAATAACCGGTGGAGTAGCTCTTATGGCTTGCAATCAAAATCAACACCAGGATGATTGAACTCATCATTTCTTAGTGTTACACATAACACAACTTTTAACTTATTATAGAATCCATATATATTGTAGATTATTGATTGATTTATAAATAAATTCTTGTATTTGGAAACTAGTTATTAATAATACAACTGAATAACTTAATAAATTGCATAAAATCTTAAAATAAGTTTTTATTACATTAGAAGGAAAATTGCTAATTTAATTAAATGTAAAATACTTTCTTAGTTATTTATTGGTTATTTGTTTTTAATTCACTTTAAGTTGAACTAAATACCATAAATTGCAATAACAGTAATTTAATTAACTCTGCACTTAATCGTCACTTTAAGATCGTTATTAAAATTGCGTAAAATGTTGAACTAAACTCTTTTTCTAATTTGTTTAATTGTATATAATTCACTAGCACTTATACAATAATACTGATTACTATTATAAATTTAACCTAAAGTAATTTTTTAAGAATTTATTAAAAATTAATACAAAGTAAGTAAATATCTCTGAAGAAGTTAATAATCAAAATGATTGTAGAAAGCAATGAATTGAATTTCATTTTATAATTAGAAATGACATTCATTTCATTGAATAGGAGTAAAACCACAGCTCAAGACCAATAGGTGTTGTCCAAACACATGATAGGTTTGCGTAACGAATACGAGGAAAAATCGTGAGAAAGTCTCGCATTTACTCCAACTTTTTGAAGAACACATCAGAAAAATAATTATAAATACTATCTTTATATATCCTTTACCTTTCATTATTTGCTTCAGAAATGGATTTATAAAAAAAAAGATTATAATAAGGTTTTGTGTAAATATTGAGAAAAGTTGTGGTTAGTTTTGCTTTATAAAGGCTATAAACAACATGTGGAGTAAATCGCGCGTATATTACGATAGCCTACCTACTTGACGATTCAGAGAGTTTCATTAGTTAATTCATTTATGTTTTGGTGATAAAATTATCAAATCATGAATGTTGTATATTTTTTGCAAATCAATTTCATTGATTATAATATAGTAATGGTAATTAAGAATAATTAAATTCATTAAAAGAGTACTCTTGCACTCAAGTATTCATTCAATATATCCAACGAGAATGTGCTATAAATTGACTTACTGTACTAGGATCTAACAGATTTACAATACAGTTATAATCTCATAATCCTTTTAGCCATTTCAAGTTCAAATGATACGTGATTTTATTCGTGATTTTCTTCCGGTTAAAAGTTTTAAAATGAGTTTAATCTTAAAATAGATTTGAATCAATCAATAAAACCAAAATCATATCAATTCTTGTATCAAACATAAAAGTGTGCTATTTTATTCATATTGATTTTAATTTTATAATGTTTTTTAC